CATTGTTGAGATAGACGGGCGACAGTGCAGAAGGAGAGAGTTCAAGTGCAAACCACACCCAGATATTTTTTATGTTCGGAATAATAAACAATCTTCGAGTTGTGTTGCCATTGGAGGCTTGTCATTGTTGAGATAGACGGGCGACAGTGTAGAACGAGAGAGAATGGCCAAGCAGCAGACGCTTGGTAATGTGCTGTGGCAATTTGAACTTTAGATAAAGTTCCGTTTCCGTCTTCTTAGTTAGTTTCCTAAGCGCGCTCACCCGCCGTTAGTTTTAGCATGAGCTAAACATCAAATAATTATGACGGGTTGTTGAGTTTTCAGGTTCGGTTTTTGTAGAAGTACAATCAGCATCATTGAGTTTCAAGTTCTTTGCTTCATATTCAAGAAAGTGTTTTCGCCGTTTTGTGGCACGGCAAGTAGTAGTACGAAGACGAAATAAAGTGAAGTCAAAGTTCAAGTCCAAGTTATGTGTGTTTACTTGGTTACAGTACATTTAAAAAGTACATAAGTAAGTAATATATAAAGAAATAAAGAAAGATATCAAATAGTACAAAGAATAAAAAACAAACAAATAAATAAAGAGAGAGAGGGAGGGAGAAAGAAAGGAAGAAAGAAAGAGACGAATGAATGAATGATGAATAAGTTGGTAAATTAAGAAGTTTAAGAATTAAGAAGTTTAGGAATTAAGGAGATTGTGTTCGGAAAAGTCACATTGGTATGACAGTTGTAGCAATGTCTTTGATGACTTTCTTGTGATCTAATTACGATGAAAGTTTTGCACTGTAGCGTGATAAACAAGCGGTTAAAGAATTCTAACATCAGTGCTATTCATTGATGGAACCAGTCACTCCATTCTCCAGTTTCATTACCATTCTCGTCCTTTTGATTGTCAAATTGGACAAGATAACCTCTCCTACTATTATAGGCAGTCACAGTGCCCGTTAACCAACCAAGGTACTCCAATTTGCCTTCTTTATTCTTCTCGTTGTATTCCACTTCAACAGAGCTGTTGATTAATCCTCTTCCTCTTCTTCGCGGTCGCTTTGCGTCATGAATGTCGCTCGTTCTGTCTGGCGGACCATTTGTACTATCCTTTTTGTCGTTAGTCAAGCTTGAGCGCTTTCGTTTCCTATTTCGTCGTGCATTTGCTGTCGTAAAATCGATGTTGACGTTATTAGACCGGGCAACGACTTTTGCAGCATGGACTCTGTCTTCCATGTACATATTTTCTAGAATAAAATTTAGATTATTTTTTKATTTAAAGGTTTGGCGGTTGATTGACTCTACCGGATTGGTCGTGCTTGATAGAGAAGCCCAGTCGTCTGTTTCTTTTAAAGTGAATGCCTTTGTGAACATTTGTAGATGACGTGGTCTTGTCCACCATGCAGCCCAGTGTTTTCCTCTTTTCCAATGCATGTTCTCTAGTGTATCGCATAAAGATTTTTGACTTTCGTCCTTTAAAAAGGATTTAGCAACTTTCAATTCTTTTTTAACAGATAAAACATCAAACACGTCCATGACATCCTCTTTCTTCTCAATACTCTCTATGCATCTTCCAAGTGCTTTGAATATTTGCTCCTCCTCCTTTGACTGGCACAATATTTTAGAACCTCTATTTACAGATCTCATCCAATGTACTGAGCAGCCTCTAATTAACTTTTCGACAAGTTCTTTTCCAAGCACTGTCTCAAAACCGTTGTACTCGGCGTCATCGAAATCAACTAAGATATTGACTAGCTCCTTTCCATTCTTGAAATTTGGAAAATGTTTAGTAACATGAGAAAAAACTTCATAAATAGAGATTGCGTATGACACTCCATCCTGTTTATCGCACAGCACTCTTCCCACAGCTTGATAGTGTACAGTGGTGGGGTTAAAAACGACCATATTCAGCAAATACGGGAAGTCTTCGTTACCAGTGTACGTGATATCAGCAAACAGCTCATCCGCTTCACTCAAGAGTTTGGCTTGGTATGGTGACATGAAGAAAGCATGTTTTCTCCCTGGCTTAAATGAATATTCCATCCCATCCATCTGGTAATTTCCCATCATGTCATTGACCTTTTTTGTCATTTCCTCATCTCCTCCGTCTTGCTCATTTTGTACTTTGTTTATGATTTTTTCGAATTCTAAAATTTTTTGGAGAGGCGCAAGTTTCTTATTGGTCATTGTCCCATTCCGTATCAATTTTGCTCTTTCACGTCTAATTCTTTCGGGATTAGATGCCGCTGGGCAGACCTCTCCTGGTATAATCCCCAATCCATAACCTTTTTGTAAATCTTTTGTTGTCAAAGAGGAATCCTTACACAAGGCCTTGCTGATACTTTCTTTAACATCTTGTGTTACCAGATGCGGTGCAGGCTTTGCATGGTTGTGCTTGGCGTCTGGAAGTATACCTATCCAGCGTCTGCCATCATCTTCTTTAGGCCAAGCATAAATCATTTGCGCGGGGCATGGTCCAAGCATTTTGAGTCTGTGTGTTTCCTCGTGCTTTTGACATTTGTTCTTTTTTTGTCTATTAGATACTGTGTACGGACATCCATCAGCCTCGCATGCCTTAACGCCTTCACACTGTGCACGCCGCACGTATATTTCTTCCCTTTTGCCTTCGATGAGTAGGGTGCATAGGCGAGTATTAGAGTGTTTTTTTGTTAATTGGTTATCGTCCCACATAAAATGGATCCTTTTATGCTGATTGAAATTCGGAAATTTTTTAATGTCTTCGCAAAATCCAAGTTTTGCATGATTAAAACCGGGGAACTGGTAGTCATCTCTTTTTTCGATAATAAACCAGTTGCTGTTCTTGCTAATTTCAAGTTTAAGTTTCGGCAAGAGGTGGATTCCTCTTCCGCTAGTGTTGGATTTCTTTTCTTTAGTTGCTTTTTTAAAAGGAGTCTGATCAAGCGGGTCAACAGCAGGAGATAATACCATCAACTGGGAAGGTGATTTTAAGAACTCCTCCCCTTTTTTGGTAGATTTGTATATTCTGGACGTGTTAGTAAAGCTGGGTGTCTTGATAATACAGAAATCAATTTCAGTCAAATTTAGATGGATAGCTTGTCGCAGATGCCTTGACCACCACATTCTATCTAGTTTATTACCTTTGTGCAACGTGCCTACACCATAAGTCGACGACTTCTCGATTGCCTTCTGCACTTCTGGCTTAGACAGCCAATCCCTTTTTGCGCCAAGGAGCCATGAAACAATTTTGTCTTCATTTGGGTTGGTTATTTTTGATATTTCTTGAATCGCAGATAACAATAGACGAATTGTGTCTTGCGCATCGAAATCCTTCTCGTGATTTTCTTTTATGTCACATCCGGTGCAGCATTCACCGCTCGGAGAGTCTAGGTTGATTATAGTTTGGTCTTCATATCCGTTTAGAAGTCCCTCTCTTAAGCAGCTGCCATTGTATACACCGTATATCCAACGCCAAGAATCTTTATACATATCTTTTATCTTTACGCTTTCTTCTTGACTGCACCCCAGGACCCAGAAAGACAGCCTCTGGTCATCTTTGTATTCATTAAACCACAAGTAGCCATCGGACTGTTCACCACTTCTTCCAGCTCTTCCAAACTCTTGGATAAGGACTCCCTGGTTACGCATACACCCTATGCGTATTACAGACTGCACATGGGGGCTGTGCGTCCCAACTTCATAGGATTCGGTGGCTACTAAGACTTGAAACTCTTTGTTTCTAAAGGACGAATCGATTTTTTTCTTTTCTTCCAATCTTATTCCACCATGATATGATTTGACGTCTTGCATGCCAGCCTGCTTCAGACAATCCGTCATAATTTCTACGTCCTTTTTGAAGTCCATATACACAATTCTATATTCTTTTCCAAGGAGTTTTGAAATCTGCTTGGCCGTAGTCATCCAAATACTGTTTCTGTCGCCTTTTACCGGACGCTTTCCCTGGTATGACGCAACATTAATTTTTATATTAGGGCGGTCAGCACTGGAACGAATCAAAACTGGGAAACTCAAGTACTCTTCGCACAGCGATTTTATCTGGGTGTCATTCAAAGTTGCTGTCAAAGCCATGACAGGAATTCCCGGGAACGCCTGATGAAGATTGCGCAGATGTTCGTAGCAAGAACGAAATTCAGAATTCCTATCAAAGACTTTGTGGACTTCATCGATTACAATCATATGTATTTTGGAAAGGTATGCGCCTAGGAAATATTTCAGCTTCATGTCAAAATATTCAGGGGTTGTATAAATCAAAGAAGGAATGTTGTCGTCAAACGTTGAATGTTCTAATTCGTGTTGTGGTCCAACAGCAACTGCACTGATGCCGAAGGCACTTAAGCTTTCCACTTGAGAGTTAATAAGTGAAACGGTCGGGCATATCACCACTGAAAACTTACTGTCATCAAAAATGGAAGGCAATTGAAAGCAAATGCTCTTTCCGCTTCCTGTCTTTTGAATGACGATCACATTTTTCCCCCTTTCAATAGCGCGTATTGCTTCCAGCTGGAACTCCTTTAAGGAAGACAGACCAAATTTAGTGAGGTATCCCTTCCAAAGGATTTCCTCCTTCTCACCTTTTTTGTCTTCAGGTGACGGTTTTTGCCACAGCTCTTTAATTAAATTTTGATCAACAGAAACGTCCATATCTTGTTCCTCTATTCCATCAACATTCTTGATATCTTCAGGGGTGTTATCCATGAAACTAGCAAGGAGAACATCTTCGTCATCGTCTGACAAGGAGATATCGCAGACCGACTCAAAATGGTTTTCTCTGTTTTTCTTAGACAGACGAAATAGCGATTCTGGCCCTTTTTGATCACCAAGAATACTGGACATTCTTTGGGTTATCCAAGTCATTACCGCCTTCGCTCCAGCAATCCGTGACTGCTCATTCATTTGGCATTTAAGGATTTTGATAAATGCATTCCCATTCCCATTGAGTGTCTCCCCGATATGGTGTGTATCTATCAATATATAGGAATTCTCTACAAAACCTACTGTTAAACAAATCGGAGAGCAGGTGTAAAGGCCCACAGAAGGGTCTTCCTCACTTAGTCTTAAGATGGCTTTCTCGAGAAGTTCTTTTTTAAGCTCAGGATCTTTGCATAGTTGGTCTGTTATTAACTCTTTAAAAGTGTACTCAAAACTCAGAAGTTTTCGAGAGCTAAGGATCCCCAAGGCTTCCTCCGCGTTATAAAACTCGCTACGATTACGAAACTCGTTTATTATGGGAGGGAAATCAGATATTGTTTTTTCGATTGCCTGCTTCAGTAAAGTTTGGTCTTTGACAAGAGTTGGCTGACAATAAACGACGTCTGCGTTCTTGACTCCCAGAAAAGAACAAGAATTCGTCCCATCCTGTTTCTGAACATAGGCTTCAATATCCTCGTTCAACTCATTTGAGATGTCCGGGTTTTCTTCTGACATTTCAGCTACAACTTCCCCAACTCGTTCAATTGCACTGCCTTGATGCAAAGAAAGCGGTATATTGACGACATCGATAAGAGTACTTTTAACAACTTTGTTTTTCTTTGTTGGTTTTCGAAAGGTGGACAAGTTAAAAAGCATGTCTTTTACAGCAGTCATAGTTGGCCTTTGGGACAGATCTTGGACCCAGCAAAGTTCGATAATCGCTGTCCACTTTTCCTTTTGATCATCTGTCAGGCCATCAAAAGACGCACTTGAAATATTTGGCCTTTTCCCTTGCTTTACGTGGTGATAAATGAGATCACATGTACCTATTTCTCCCTCCCATGGATGAGAACGATCAGGAAGAGTGAATTCAACCATTACCATTCCAAAGCTGTACACATCACTTTTCACATTTCTTTGAGCTCCGATTTCAGTAAGCTCAGGAGCTGTGTAAGGCGCTGTACCAAGGGCAACCCTTGTCTTCTCACTTGCTTTCATTGTTGAACTATTTACCAACGATGTCGCTTGTGATAAAGAAAACTGATGGTAGTCGAATGTCGCCTGTCCAAAATCGCCTATTTTGACAATGTACCTGTCATCTTTTCCACCGCCAATAAATACATTGCCCGCTTTAAAGTCGGAATGTACAACTTGCTTTTCATGAAGAAAGGACAACCCCAAGGATGCCTGTTGGATAATGTCCAGCCTGCTGCTCCATGGTAAGTCACATTCAAGAGAGTCTAATAATTGCCGCGCATTATTCACTGTCATCAATTCATCTGACATAGTGATATGCTTTTCTAGATACTCGGTAACAATGACGTTACGCGATACGTCCATGCCTAGGTGTCGCACGACGTTAGGGTGCTGCAGCTTTTTTATGCATCGTAATTCCTTTTCAAGACGCTTTTTATGTTTCCCTGTAAACCTTACCACAAATTCCTTGCACGCAACATCCATAACGACCCCGTGGTTTTGAAATTTCCCTTTATACATTCGGCAGGTTGAACCACCATCGAAAGGCTTCTTAGAAATTTCAAGATCCTCGGTTTTTATGTAAATGTTATCGTCATCACCACCAACTTTGATTAGCCCGACAAGGCTGTGTTTGTTTTTCAAATTCCGAATTTTATGTGATTCTATAAAAAAAAGAATTTTTTTTTTTACAACTGCTACAACTATCTTTGCTCGTCGACATCAATATATTTTTTTCAATGTCGACATTCATGCAGTTTGGCCAAACCACGCGCCGATGGTGCCACTAAAAATTTGTATGGACGTACTTATTTCTTGAAAACATCTACTAATATTGACATTTGAGAACGGTAGAAGTTACCAACAGTACCCTTTTTGAAAAAGGTATTTTTAATTTAACAATGCCTACGTTATATTTTTATTTATTTAGTGAAAGAAAATCAATGCCCTTCCATGAAATACCATAAAAAACGGAATCCTGACTGAAAGTTTCAAAACATCTAGTAAGTATTGACAAAAAAATTATCATTTTTCTAAAAGGGATCAGCAAATGATATTCTGAAAAAAAGTTAAATTTAAGGTAACCATTGCACTATATATAAAGATAATAAAAGCACAAGACTGGCGAAGCTATTACCAATAATTCCAAAATACGAAAGAACTTGTTATAAATCTGTAAAAATGTCGTCAGAAAATAAAAAACAAAAATGAAGATACTGTATTTGATCTAGAATTAGCGTAATGTCATGCTGTTAAAAGTAGCCATTGTCCTTGCAAAGAATAAAAATGTATATATTAAAACCCCAAATTTATACTAGAGATTCGTTAAATCACTTCAGTACGCTTTTCTCTTGTTTCGCCGCTTGGGTATTTTTTTGCTATTTTAATTACTATTCTAAATTACTAATGAACTTTGAATGATGATAATTTTTACGCACAAGAAACATAATTGGGAAGGCTTGAATCAAACTGCCCGGTGTTATACGGGGATGTGCAGTGATAATCCCATATTAGTGTATCAAATATATAAAGAAATATACGTCTATAATCATTATTTTTACTCACCCCCAGAAGGGAAGGCGTTTGATTGTTCCTTTTCGTGGCCTCCAACTTGTTTAAATAAGGGTTTGTCTAGCTCTGTTTAAAAGGTACAATTCTATATTAACACCACTAAACACACACTCAGAAATATGATATCAGTATTTCTACTTACCCACAGAAAAGAATGCGTTGGATTGTTCCCTTTCATAGTCCCTAAGTTCTTTGAATGGGGGTTTATCTAGTTCTTCGAAAGATATGATTTCATTTTCTTTTTTATCATAAACAAGTTCTTCAATAGTGCTTTTTAACGCAGAACTAAACATCATAATCGTATTATTTTAAGTATTCAATGCTGCTCGTTCTGTTATACACTGCACAGCATAAATAGAGGATATTACAAGGGTGCGCGGCATACGGATTATATACGCCAGTGTTGGAAAGATCTATCACGAGTGAGCGTAGCGAAATTCCCTTGACGGTGCATTGATAGCCGAGTTATATTCTGCGACACTTACCAGTTGAACGCGAATCAGTTTTCAGCTGCTTTTTCTCAAATGAGCCACTCTTAATGGAAACAAAACATTGGTATGTTATTTCTTTTCATTATAATACTATTTCATGTTTCTTTTTATTTTATATAGAAAACTGCACAACCATGTCCATCATGAAGTATCACTTCGTGCTTACGTTAAGTAGTTACTTTACACTACTATCCCATACACTATTTCATCACCTATCATACGCATCATGGTAAAATTTCCCTAATGGTGTCACGGTAAAAACGTCCCTTACCATTGGACTTAAAATCCTTTCGTCGTATGCTTTCGCAATTCTTATGAGTTCGTCAAACTCGCAGTTTTCAGGAAAAATAAGCCCCTGTGCAGGTCTTCCCTTTTTTTTTCTCTGGTCCTTTTTCCTCTGGGTTTTCTTGTAAATCAACTGAAACATTGATAGGTGGGAAAAGAAAACAATCACATTTGGATAAACCCGCAAAGACGGATTTACAGCCAAAAGGCGACATTTTATTAATAAACGTACTGCAATAGGACCAAATCTAGAGCCCGAGCCGACAAGTTCTTCATCCTGGTTTTTAACCTTTCTAGCTAGACGTCTGTGTCTTTTCCCAAGCAAGTGCACCTTTATGTCAACGTCGGCAGGGATCTAAAAATATAAAACTCGACATTTGAAAGAGCGCTCAGTCGTGCTGGATCAAATCATGAGTTGAATTTTAATTATAATTTGTTAACAAATAACCTAGTTGACTTCTATTAAAATTCTTAATATTGGAGTTTTTACCAATTTTAATTGACAATTTTTAATTGAATAAATTACGAAAAATATTAACTTAGTTTAGTCACGGAACATACGATGTCACATCGTACTTTGAGGATGATGCTTTGTAGTGACAAAGTGACTTTAGCCTTCGTGGCTGCTACCGGACTCATTATAAAAATATTCCTTTTTTGAATTCCTATCTTGTTCAAGCGCGACAGCATATGACACACTTTGTGGCCTATTATATGTAATGTGATTGGCTATAAAGTGAGCTTAGATTTCCTAAGCTATCAAAATGCCAAAATGCCAAATAGTACGTAAATCGCTCGGATAAGCAAAGAAAGATATCTTTAACCAGCACATTCCAAATAAAAAATTTATTAATAAGTCAAAAGTATGTAGCAGTGTTACCATGAAAACAATTTTTTTTTTTGGGAAAGTGAGTGACTTAGTGAGTGAAAGATAGTTTGCTAACGCAATGATCTCTAAGTTAATTAAAGGCGCTAGATGAAAATGTTACATTGCATTGTCACTAACTCATTATGCCTACTACGAAGTAGTAGACAAGAAGCTAACAAAAGAATGTGTACTGTACCAGTAGAATGACGTCAAAATGCAATCAATACCCCTTCAATACCCCATAAACACAGGAAGCCCAAGGAAGCGATCGGTAGAACATATGTACGAACCCCTGGGGGAGGGGGAGTACTACCTCCCCAACTTCGGTGGGGGTGTGCCGCACGACTCTCAAAACCCTTACCCTATCCCAGACCAATTTTTGTAATGTTGCATACCCTACCCCAGACTAAAGGTACAAAGGTACATTATTTTAGCGCTGAAAGCATGGCCTAGCAGATACGATCAAAGGCAAAACTACACCCAAACCCAGACAAATGGGCAAAAAATGAAACTCTATCCCAGACTTGGAGCTCTGAAAAAGGGGCCCTATTGAGCGTGGGTACGAACGACCGCCCAAACATTTTCTCAAACATTGTGAACCGATCCTCTCTGGGGATTTATGATTTATGAATAAGTTTGTGAAAATTCCTCTTGGTAATTCATTGTCGTGGAAGTTTGCGAGGTGCAAAGGCATCAACAATGCTACATCTGCTGTTTTTAGTTACTAATACAAATTCCTTTGCGTACTTGCTAGTTGACATTCTATTCTTATCTAGACTAATAACTAGAATGCCTTAAAACCACATTTATATAATAACAAAAAATCGGACGCCAATCTTGTCACATACAACGTGACGCTATTGACCCTAATTGACATTACCCAAAATGTATTCAATTTCTCTAAAGTGAGTTACAAAATAAAATTCAATTAGCTTCAAAACGATATTTCACCAGCGTAGCTCCACTATTCCCCTCGGAATATTCATATATCCTACCCAAGAAATGAACGCAGTAGAGAATAAAAGCTAATAACCTCTTAGCTGAGCTATTTCATGCCATGGATCGCGTGACTCCAAGTAATCATGATGATGGGGCAATAATAATGGGATTAAGGAGTACTAGTAGATCATGCGCTTATGACTTAATGATCAAGCTATTGCTGTTGCCAATCATGGGTGTGCACATTTTCCTTCCATCCGTGCACGTCCGTACATATGTACAATATCCAAATAGTGAATACGGAATCGTTTTGAGACAAGATATATGAAAACAAATCACTAAAAGAACCTTGCAATGATTGAGTACTATATAGTCAATAGTCAAGAATTCATTTTTCCAATGCTAATGACTATAATCTCGTATGAAGTAGTAAGTTCACACTAGCGAAGAGCAAGAAGAAACACAGATACAAAACTTTGAGTTTTATTATAGCAAATTTTGTAATTCAGCGCATACAGTCACTTAAAGGTGACCTACCTAAGATGATTTGTCCGCGGCACCTTAGACATATGTCACGTGTGAATATTACCATCCAAAAATTTCATAAAATTAAAAATTACAAAAAGGTACTCACCTTGACTTGACATAATTTGCAGTGATGCCATTGGATTCGATCCTCGAACTCCTGTTAAAACAATTTAAGGGAAAATGACGACCGGACGCTTTTGGAGATGAAGGCTATAGCTTCATGGATGTTTTTTTTGGTAATAAAAAAATACTTATACATAAATTGCTGTAAGCATAAATCTAGAAGGTCACAACAAGTGCAAATGCCACGCTGGATAGTATCAAGGATCTTGAATATAGTTTGATAAAGATTTGCACAACAACTCGAACACGTGCGCTAGGCGATTTTGCAATAGAACAAGAATATACAAAATATATTCATCTAAGAACAAAATGCAAAAGCACAAGAATCAATATGCAATGAATGATTACGTACCTCAGACCGATCCTCTCCGAGAAAAACAAGGTCGCAGTCAGGTTCACTACTAATTTTAAAGCAAAACTGTGCCATTTTAAAAAACTCAAGATCATAAAATGCTGATCAGATGTAGAGTGAAACAAGATCCATCTTGCATTATCCTTTGTGAATTTTTTTGCAAGTTTCTTATTGGTGTAGATTTTTCGCAGACTTGATGAGAAGATAAGAAATTGCCTCATTGTCTGGAGCGAGCAAATCCCATTAAAAAGAGCAAACATAGTGCTGTGGGGGGAGGGGTAACCCCTTTAGTAATTATACTGAAAAGTGGACAGGACAAAAGAACATTTACCTCTAAAAGATGTAAGCTTCTGTTATGCACACGTCCTTTTTTAACGTGGTTAAGATGACTAGCAGCACAACAGACGCATGTTGTCGTCGTTAAGTCATGCAATAACCACGAAATGAAGATTTCACTGATTTTCAGACGGCAAACGTTGTCGTGTTCAAGTCATTGGAATAACCACGAAATAAAGAATTAACTCTTCTTTAGACAAACTTTAATTGTCTTGTTCAAGTCATTGGAATAACCACGTAATTGAGATTTCACTATTCTTCAAACAAAATTTTTCGTGATTAAGATTGCAATAACCACGAAATAAAGATTTCACTATTGTTCAGACAAACTTTTTCGTGATTAAGTGATTGGAATAACCACGAAATTGAGATT